TTGCTTTGGATATTGAGAAAGCTTTTGACTCTGTAAACCTAAACGCATTCCGGGATATACTTCTTACTAGAACGAACAAAGCCCTAACAAACAGGATCATTAAGGCCTGTATGAACGAAATAACGAGCATTAAATGGTTTGAATAACAAACAAATTGGATAACAAAAGGACAAGGAGTAAAACAGGAGTGCCCACTCTCGCCACGACTATTCACTCTGATAATGGACGACCTAATGAGAACCCTCGAGGAAGAAATAGAGTTCCTAAAATTTGAACAAGATAAGAAATCTCCTTACCGGTGATACTATCATTCGCAGACGACGTGCTCATGATATCTAACTCACTAAGCAAACTAGATATCATGTTTGACACAACCCGCCACCTTCTCTGCACAATAGGCCTCAAAATAAACACCAAAAAAACAAAAGTTCTCCTACGCGACCCAACTCAAGTCGGAACACAAAGGACGTCCGTAATCTTAGGCGGAACCAACATACCAGTAGCAAAAGAAATTAACTACTTAGGTACGTACTTAAACTCTACTCACAGTTGCAAAACTACAGTACACACAAGATGTAAACAAGCTATCAAGAACGCAAAAATAATAAACCATTTCGTAATGTTATCAAAAATGGAATGGCAAACAACCCGCTTAATATACAAGATGGTCATTGAACCTACAATGACCTACGGCCTTAAAGCAGCCGCACTAACAAAAGCCAATAGAGCGAAGCTGAGAAGGTACGAGAGGTTAATACTTAGAAGTATGATTAACTGCAAAGGAACTAAACCAAATGAAAAAAAAAATACACGATGTGTTAGAGGGAAAGACGATCACCAAACGAATAAAATATCTGAGGCTTTGCTACTTCGGCCACATCCACAGAAGAAAACACCCACACATTTTACACGCAGCACAAAGACTAAGAGCACCACAACTAACAAAATAGGAAGACCCATATTTACATGGAATGACTCCCTAAAACATGACATGGAATGGAATACTACCAAAGTAACGAAGACGACTGGATAGAACTAACTAAAGATAAGGATAAATTTAGACAAGCAGTTGAAGAAATATATAAAATTCCGGAAACCGACACCGAATCAGAAGGGAAAGAACTAATACAACTTGAGCTCCATGCAGCAGGATTCACTACGGCAACATGAAGCTCAAAACCACCAACGCTCATTTCTAACAACACTACCTAACTACCTACCCAAATATCTAACTACCCCTACTACCTACTTTCTGTCACGCGCTGCATAGCCGGCAGGAATCTGGCCACCGGTTGCGGCTGGTTGTTCTTCCCCTCCACAATCCTTGAAACTGTGCCTCTAGTATATCCGGCTTTTCTGGGTCAGATTTACTCTAGCTGGTGTTGCCAATGGGCAATGAGCAATACATACGTATCACATACTCGTTGCCTAAAACAAGGAAACATAGTTGGTTAATGAAAACATGTTCTCAAATAGAAAAACCGCGCTTTAATTTAATCGGATTACAAACTAACAGAAAACAAAATGCTCGTAGTTCTATGTCTGAATTCGATCATTGTAATTTAACAGATGTTAAGGTATTTCTAAATCAAACGTATTGCCTATACGAAAATTTGAATGTTGGTTACGCTTGGTAGGTGTACGCTAGATTTCAGCAGTCGTACTATGGGCAACGCGCTGAACCTTTGTTAAGTCTAAAAGAGTTTAAAGATATTGCACCATTGTTTGTTATTGACTGTTGCCGTCAGCATGAAACATTAAAGGGTTCAATCGATGTTAGAGTTGAATTAGAAGCCGAACAAGATATACCCGATCAGACTGCAGCTTATTGCCTCATATTGAATGACAGCTTTTTGAATGCAAACCCTTAAGTAGCATCGTAAAAAAATATCATAATGAAATCTTCAAAAACTACATTTGTGGACCTACAAGGATTCAAAAATTCTAAGAACGAATTCATTGTAAAAGAAATGGCCATAGTAACCAATGAATGGACTCAGATATTTTTAATGAAACTACCTTATCCTTATGCAACCCTATCATCAGAAGAAAAGAAGCAAACGAAATGGATAGAAAGAAATAGAGGAATTTATTGGAGTAAAGGTTTTATTGACTATCGTGAATTTAAACGCATAATTAATTTATATTTAGAAAACAGAAATATAGTACTGAAAGGTGTTGAAAAAGTGAAATGGATCAGAGAACTTTGTGAAAATTGTAATATTGTAGAATTAGGTGATAAAGGTTGTCCAAATTTGATAATATTGCATAACAATTACGAAGACTGTGATTTAAATTGTGTGTAGATTTTAAGACTTCCTTGGTTATTCACTAAATGATTATCACTAATATCAGGTTTCTTACCACGGTATGACTTATATGAAATATCGGGAAAATAAAAAGAAGTCATACCGTGGTAAGAAACCTGATATTAGTGATAATCATTTAAATTGTGTGTTCCACAAGAAGCTATGTGCTCTCAAAAATGCTATTCGTTATTGAAATGGTGTTTTGATAATCGAACCAGTTAAAATTTTTTTCATCATAAATACTATATTAATTTCAATAAATATATTCACTTTTATTATGATCTCCACCACAAAGTCTGAGCCATATTTAAAGTGAAGTTTGCTGTACTTTATTAGGATAGAAATATTGTATTTGAGTAAATAAAAAGTACACATATTTAATACAAAATGTATATATTTTTTATTTTACAAAATAAATTTATAATAACGAAATCTTAAAATTAAACGATTGTATTTTATTGGGTCCGGACAGGGTTGCTTGCTCGTTGCGCTGAGTTGCTTCGGGGCGGTCAAGGTCAAAGGTTCTTTTCTGTCACACTTGTCTATAACAAATATATACTTAAATTTTAAGGGTGAATCAGTGGAATAAAAAAATTAAAAAGAAATAAAGATGAAGCATTACCTAAGTACGTATGGCTACTGGCTAAATCTTACCTAGTTATATCTATGTTGCTCGCTTCTTCGTTCCTGCAACCTATGTTAGCGCCAATTAGCCGTAGTAACTGTATCGTTTTGTTTATTATGGGATCACTTTCACTATATGTATATTAGACATTGCGCTTTACTAAATGATGCTACATGCACTTCAGATGCAGTTTCTTCACATTTTAAGAGATCTAAACGTAATATGTAGTTAGGAATTTTATCTTCCATCGCGAGAATGTAGCTAGCTTGCATAGTTGTTTTTGATCCTGACATTTTAACGATAGTGAACCGAACGCGATGAGCACAAGTCAAGGAATAAATAAATCCAGTGCACCATACGTAAGAATAAATTATAAGACACCACTCCCGCGCATTCGACACGTGCGCTTTGGTAGAACATGTCTTAACTTGCGCGATTATGTATCATGATTTATGAAGTTATACAGAGCGTTTATACATGCATATAACATAATAACTGTATTCCTCAAAGGTAAGACGAATATTTATAGTACTTGCATACAGCCAAGCGAAATAAGAGATCTAATAAAACAAAGTAATTGAGTCTTAATTATATTTTTTATTTATTTATTTTACAAACCTGTTTTAAAAATAATGTACGGTAAAAAGTAACCAAAACCAATGCTTATCATTTCATGTTCAAGAATCGAATTTATACATCACAATTATTAATTAACATTTTATAGATCTCATTTGAAGAAAACGAAACATTTATCTTAATTAGATTCTTAAAGTACTCTATACAAATTTTCACATCATTTTCTAAACTAGATAGATAATTCAAATATAAATGTACACAAGTAGAATAACGAGCTAATATGTCCATTAGCTGTGGAATCATTTCTGTACTGCAATATTTAGAACAGTAAAGAAAGTCGAACCGATCTTGTAACTGAGACTGAGAGATATAATAATGAAAATCATTTACATAAAAAAAGACATATTCTTGTTCACCGTCTAATACAAAAATCTTTGTTTTAAAATCTGCGTCAGCCCAAAGTCCTATTATTACACAATCATTTTTATGTTAGAATATAAGAGGTATGGTTTTGAAATTATGGTAAAATCCTCTTTGTATTATCAATGCATTGTGCAAGTTGGATTATTTGATAAAAAGTTATTTTCATGCTCAGCATAATATTGCGTAGGATTGTTGCGTCACAATTTATTGTAAGTAAACGAGAGATATAATGTTGAATAAACTTGTTGAGGACAATATTTAAATATTAAGGTAGGACGATTAGTAAGATGTACTTACCACGGGCCCTCAGGAAGTCACTTCCCATGGTGCTTCCAACTGATCGTGTTAGCTGTTAGGGGACGATTAATGAGGTGTACTTACCACGGGCCCTCAGGAAGTCACTTCCCATTGTACTTCCAACTGATCGTGTCAGCTGTTAGCGGACGATTAGTGAGGAGTACTTACCACGGGCCCTCAGGAAGTATCTTCCCATGGTGCTTCCAACTGTTCGTGTTAGCTGTTAGGGGACGATTAGTGTGGTGTACTTACCACGGGCCCTCAACATCCTGAAGTTCTGGGGTGAACCTAATTATATGTAGGTAGGTAAATACATTTTATTATTATCATTATTATTATTATTAATTAACATAGTTGTAAGTACCAAATGTTACGAACAACTCTATGGATGCAATTATCTGAAATAAATGAGTATTATATATTATTATAATGAATCACAAGTATTGATACGTCTCTTTAATACACGTCGTCAAAAACACTGTGTCACAAAATACACGGGATGTCGCCATCCTTCTTTGATAATATTGTATCTGATTTTCTAGTTGTGGAAGAGCGGAACCCTCTCTTACACAGGTATATATTACTAGAAAGAGGTCTAGTAGTTCTGTAGTAAGAGGACTCCAACCTCATTATTGTACTATGATTATTGAAATGAAAATAAAGCTATAAACGTCTTAAATAAATTTAAAGAAAATAACAACATTACTCTGTAAATTTATTTTTGTTCATTAACTATACCAAAAACCTAGAAAGAATTTTCTCTTTGCCAGATGTTCACGGCAATGATGATAACAGCTGATGCATGCCTAGGAGTAACGCTGGTTATCTTCGTGCCCAAGTGCCAATTCAAGGCGCTAACCGGTTTATTTAGTGTTTTCGGCACCTTTTGCACGGTATATGGTAAGGACACCCTTCAAAATATTTATTACGATCACAGTTACACAATATCTTAATAACATTTATTTTGTACACGTTTTTTTATAATACTACCGTTTCGCGTCTATCCATCAAGCATTCGTTTCTAATTTTGATAAGTAGCGCAATCTCACCATCAAATAGTCATTTGGTAAAATTTTCGCTACGCGGTAGCGGACCATGATCCTTTGGTAGCAACTTCTTTGATTTACCGTCGTTGGAACAAATTTCTCTTTCTATACACACTAAGTCACCTTCTTTATAAAAGTTTCCTGTCATCCTTTTATTATTATATCGTGCTCTGTCCTCCTCTTGTTGCAGCCTAATACTTTCGACTACTACTTTCTTAAAACTTACATGTCCCTCGACACCATAATTGAAGCATTTAATAGGAGGTTTGTTACCAGACTATAATGTCGACTTGTTCGTATTCGTCTGTTGATTCATAAGTCTTTTGTCGGTCCTATTCCTATTTGAGGATGCTACCCCGTCTTTAACGTGCCCCACCTTAACTGATTTCAGATACCTTTAAACTTCTTCAGGCGATTGAAATTGAGCAGCTTGTGCTCCTACTTTTATGGCACGGTCATCGATAGCGTATAAGACGCAGTCCACCGCTATTTTACCAGTGATCTGACATCGTTAAGGAGATTCAATTTGGAGTAATAGTACTGTTCCAAAGGCTTACCATATTTGACTCTTAAAGCTAACATTTCTGTTAATAATTCCGCGTAGTTGTCTGTAGACGGAAAGGACTCGATGAGTTTAGTTTTCTATTCTGTCCGAGTAAATTTGACGCTGGGTAGACTTTGATACCAAGATTTTGCTAACCCTTCCAATTTAGGTATCGCGTAATGAAAGGTCCATCGTCCATTCGTATATCTCTGACATTCTTCTACTTTAGTGATCCAGTTCGTTATTGACTGATTCTTAAGCATGGGGTTAAATTTAGGGATGACGTTATTAACCGACGTCAGTTTCTGTCCACCTTTACTGATCACCTTCAGGGCCTCTAGGAATTGGTTGAACATAGCGGCCGAATTGGAACTCGCTTCACTACCGGAATTGGCATCGGCAGCATTATTTCTAGATGGTCCAGTAACCGAAAGTTCGGTTGGTTGATTACGAGATCTACGCTCCGTTGGTTGGGAGTCCGGAGTGTTATACCTAACAACTAATTTGCGGCGAATGCTTCCATGCCTAGATCTCGAACGACTTTGATCACGATTCATGCTTGCCGAACGTTGCTCATGCTCACCGTTCGGCTGATCATGTAAATACGTCGACGGATAATCGCACGTCGCTCAAGCTCACCGTCACGATTACCGCCCCCAAGGCTCCTAAGTAACTTATCCCTGAGCCGTTGCTCGTACTCCTCGTCACAGGGAAAAGGTGTATTTAGTTATCTATGATCATTAAAGTTAACATGATAATTTAGGTGTTGATCTGACTCACGACATCGACCGTTGTTACTTGGTGATTGTGTAACACGACGTTGCCTCTACGATCTGCCCGTCAGGACAAAGCTGCGGCTCATCGATCGCCTTTGTCGTGTTCGTGTTTCATTATTCTCTCTCAGCCTTGGTCGCGAAGATCGCTGTGACCTATCATCACGTCTCTCAGGCGACGCAGAGTTTAGTCGCAAGTCCTTTTCATCCATCTGAAACTCACCATAGGTATGAGGGAATTGTCATAAAATATTTATATTTTTATTATGCGTATGTACTTAGTTAAATTCGTATTTTTTTTATTATATTTTTTTAACAGCATTACTGTATCAAAAGCGTACTATATAAAAAAATATGGTATTTAATTACGGATATTGTATAATATAGTAAGTAGTACATAATACATACATATATAATGTATATAACAGTGTATTATATTTTCCTAAATATACACATGTGTTGCATACGTACATACATACATACACAGTCCTGCATACAAAACAACGTAACATTACACAACTACAATGTCACACAAGTGCGTATGTGGAATATAAGCCGAGTCGCACTTAAAATACTTATACCAACGAGAAATGCTTCATTAAAAAAATTTAAGAACTGTTACTACGATAAGATATTACACCCTGCAAGATTATTTCAACGATTTATTCACCAAAAGCTAATAGAAGTACGGTTTACACAAATGTATAAATAGAATGATATTAATATAAACTATAAATAAATGAAAACAAATATATTAAATAAATTGCATTTAATTCACAATAAGAATACTTGGTATTTGTTGCAACGGGCTGGTATCCGCAACTCGACGACAAAGCGCCTATTTTGCGTGTGGAATATTAAGAATATATATATATATTATATAAAAATATTAGCCTTTTTATTTTCTAAGTTCATGATATTAAATAAATAAGACAATAAATAGTTATCCTATTTTCTTGTTTGATTAAACTTAATCAAAAGAATATGCTTTCCTTAATTTGGAACTGTACGAATATGAAATCATTTAAACATGACAATCAGCATTTCTAATTTCCAAAATATTGTAAATAGTATAACCTTCTCTCTAAATATAATTTACAGTGTCCTACAGAGTGAGCTTAAAGCCTTTTCCATCCTATGTAAATTATGGTAAATACAATAAAGAATAAAATTGAATACTAATAGCACGTGGGGGTTTTTTTTACCCATGGCATTGATTATCGTATACTATTATCAAATAAAAGCTAAATAAACTTTCTGATAAAATAAAGCCAGTACGTATATAATTTTTTATCAAGTTATGTGACCGTCTTTCAAGATCATAAACTCGTTTCTCTAATTAGATTATTATGTATTTACACAAAAACATAATGCAAGGTGATTAACGTTTAACGTATGCTATCGTTTGTCAAACGAAAGTAGGTTTTTTTACATGTAAATTTCTTATTTATGGCAAATAATCTCATTACTTATTTATTGCTCGCAATTATAAAACATTGCTCTTATTATAAAAATTACAGCTTGTACTTCAAATTGAGTGCCCTTTTATCCGAGAATCGAACTCGGAATATATTTAAAATTAAAAACTTACTTAAAAGAGAATAAATACAGACTAATCGATTATAATTATTGATTACTAATGAGAAAAACAGAACCAAATAAAATCGTGTATTTACATTTTTTGGTATAGTCGAATGTGGCGTAGATTCTCACTTCTGAATTATTGAGTTAAACACGCTTTCAAGTGAAAATCCTTTTATTCCAATATATCAAGACAACAGTTGATATTACATAAATTATCACTTAACACTGAAAAATACTTTCGAACTGGTCGCCTTCAGCCGACCGACTGCGTGTCTGACTCGAATGATCGAGCCCTTGACTACCTCTCTGCTCCGACCCGTCGTCTTGCTAATCGAGTAGATACTCGATTAGTCAAGTCGGTCACTTTAAAATAAATCGATTTGTGTTTTAAATGGATATTAAAATGAAATATTATGCTAAATATGCTAATCCTAACAATAAAATATAAACCGTAACCTAACACATATCTCTCTTTTTTCCATTGCTGATATAATGACATCGGGGTATTTTTTTTAAACGTTATCACTGCTGATGTGCCGCAAGTCACTTTTTTCTAGCATTTACTCCTTAATTTTTTTTGTTTTCTCATTGTGTTGAAAAAGTATTGTTAATTGGTTTGATTTTAATGTTTAATTATCTAGTCATCTGGTTTGTATTATAATATGTTTGGATATACTGACACAAAATACTAGTATATAATGTTTAAAACTCCTCCGGAATTAAATACTACGGTAATTTATACTACGGTACTTAGAACACGGACCATTTTCTTAAAAATTTCAAAAACTGGAAGTGATGCAAAATACTCGAATATAGTAAAATCGGTTAGCACCGATTCTAAACATAAATAATTAGATATTGTACATATTTAAGTATCAATATTTTTTTAGCGGTACGATAAAACTTTAAATCGATGAGTAGGTTGCACGTAGAAACAATAATATTTTATTAAAATAATGAGTTTGGACAAGTAATAGTAAATAATAGGTTTGGGCTTGGACAAGATTTTTCACGTTGTAAATAAATAAACTATAAATATACATAGATTGATTAATAAGTAATTATACTACTGTGTACAAAACGAAATAAGACAAAAATAAATTCAAAGTATTACGTGCATTGTTGTCGTTTGGATTAAATTTGTATTTTGTTATTTTATAATTTTTATTTTATTTTATAAATGAATAGCTTCAATTTAATTCTTGATTAATTCATTCTTTAATAATAATTTTCTGTCAATAATGTGAAATAGAAATGTTATGTAATGTAGGTAAAGTTAAATTATACTAAATAAAAAACCTTTAATTATTAATACAAAGATCGAACACTCAGAAAAAGCAATCAGAAAAAATTCCTTCGATCCGGTTGGATTCGAACCGAGACGTCTTCTTGCATGTTATATAATGTAGGTAAAGTTAAATTACACTAAATAAAAAACCTTTAATTATTAATACAAAGATCGAACACTCAGAAAAAACACTCAGAAAAAATTCCTTCGATCCGGTCGGATTCGAACCTCAATATATAATAATTGAATATCAATTCAATAAAAATTTCATTAATACAGTGAATAGCGACATCTCTCGCCAGGACTGGTAGCTGTAAATGTTATAACAAACAAGTGGAGTAATTTCACAAAAAATAATTGAATATCAATTCAATAAAAATTTTATTAAAAACCTTTATTTTATTTTATAATATTTTGAAATTCTTTTGTTACAGCTTTGGTTTATTCCCATTTTCCATTTGACCACGAAATCTTTCCCTGGGTCGTAGCTTTCTATTTGCCGCCATGCTTAGTCCTGGACACAATACTCCTGATGGATGGTCGTAAACAATACAAATACATTATATCACCCGAGGAATACGTCTTCGCCGCATCATGCTTGTTTGTGGACATAATAGGCTGTTACATTCTTACGTGGGGTCTGATCCAGCTAGGGCGAGGACGACGGCGACGCCGAGGGATAATAATAAATGTACAAGGTGTGGTGAATCGCGCATAAAGGAAAAACTGCAACTTTACAGGCGCAAATAAAAAATTTCAAAGTTAATAATCACTCTTTGGTGATTGAATATACTTAATTAGAATGTGTGACCAAATTAAAGATAAAAAAGCATTATATCTTATTGTTCGGAGTAGTGGTGATTGTTGTTATTGATAGTGGAAACACGGTTTAAGTTTATAAAGTTTATTGTTCAAAATAGCTAAAATTCCTTATGTTAAATGTTATGAATGCACCCGATCTATACGACTTTTTGTAATGCACTAAAGGATAGGCGATCGGCGGCGCGTGCCGCCAAATGCTTACGTTAAAGGTGTTCGATTACATCGAACATAGTCCCGGAGGCAAAATGCGCCCTAAGGGCGTGAATGTATGGAGTGCATTCATCCATGTTTATAAAAATGTTAGTAATTAAGTAATTATACAAATGATAAAACTATTTAAATGTTAGTAAACTTATCTATACAGAATCATCATTAAACACTAATTTACGAAATACTGGTTTAATATTGTCCGTTTTAAATTATTTTATTTCATATTCACTATCTTTTACTTTTTCACTACAAACACGACCGCGATTTTTACTCGAACTTGGTCTCGGTGCAGCTCTTGGCCTTGGCGGCGGCGCAGATGCAGTCGTCTCGGGAGGTGTGTCCCAGCTCCGGCGAATCTTGCGATAGGTCCATGTGACAACTACAACAATCATTACTGCTAAAATGCTGTATATTAAAGTGTAGTAGTGTATGTCGTGGTCAGAAAGCTTTTCTTCACTTTCATAGTTTTCCTCCATTTTCACAAGTTTCAATTTTGTTTTAATCTCCTTTAACAGCTGCGTTCGCTCTGCATCAGTTTCATCTTTGTTTTCATTTCCTTCGCCTATTGTCAGGTTGATAACGTGATTGGTGGGTGCCACCACTGCTGTTTCGATCTCATACTTGACGTTGATTTGGCTCTGATAAACTTTATGCCCATGAATAGCAAAATCATTTGTTGTTATGACACACTCATTATCAAGGGTAATGACGTTGGCGCGCAAAAGTGAGCGCGAAGTAATCTGATCGCCACATATGAATCGGAGTTGACATTGTTTACAACAAAAGTATAAATATGTATTTCAATTGCCTCCGTGGCCGAACGGTTACCATGCCGGAGGGCCAAGGTTCGATTCCCGGGCCGGGAGAAATATTTGCATGGCCTACATTTATTTCTCTCGTGAGTTTGGGTGTAATTTGTGGTTGTCTATGTGTGTGTCCATGGCACCCGTGACACAGGGTTTCCCTAGTGCGGGGCTATGTTGAGTGTGTGCGTTATTATTATTATTATTTGTTCTTGATAGACTAATCCACTTGCTTTTGCACGTGACGATGTTTGTTATGCATGTATTGTTGTTGTCTAAAATGCAAAGATCTTTATCAGATTTCATTTTATATATCGGCGTGTTTGGGTTGCACATGTATGTTGATCTGCCTCTTAATATACATTTTTGTAGATTGTCGTTTGTAATAGGAGAATAGCTATCTTTCTGTATATTAATCGCTATGTAGTCTGACACCGGAGTGATTGTAATCATCATGTTTTCTCTGTATTGTTTCGGTATTGAAATAACGTGATAAATATCGTAAGCTTCTCTGCTGATGAGCGGGAATTTGATTTCATATATAAAATACTTTTCGTTCATTCTTGCTCTGATTTTCATGAATTCATAGATTTTCCTTAACTCTGCATGAATGTTCTGAATTGGTTGGAAATGACACATCGTTTGTCAATAGTCCTGAAATAATATTTAGTTGATCTTGCAATTGACTGAGCGTTAATAAGTGCAAACTAACTTGTCCCTGGTACACGTCTGAAATAGTTTCAGCATCATATTTTGAATGATTTTAAAGTTTTGAAGCATGCCATTTGCTGTTATCGTTGTTAATGTAAAATCTTGCTCCTTATCGACTTCGTTTACAGCTTGTTGTAGCGTGTTTATTGCTCTATCCAGACTGTTTAGGTGTTTGTTTATCATCTTGTGTTGTTTCGTCATAATTTCTTGTGTTCTTTTAATTACATTGTATTCCGATTCCACAATGGATGTTTGCTTCACCCACACGTTCTTCAAATGTCTTTGGATTAGTTTTATAAGCTCTATATCACGCGTGTACTGTTCCGCGAAACGATCATCTAATACGCCGAACAGGCTGTTAGGTATGTTGCCTACTCCATTGATAAGCCTTCGTCGCTGTCTCGAGTGACCACTAAAGTACTGCGTAAGGAACAGCTGATTGTAGTATTGTAGTTCAGTGTACTCGTGACGTAGCTGTGGTGTGATCATATTACATTTGTTGTGTTCTTCCATATTACTGCATGACATTTTGGGATAATTTAGTACTTTCTCAAACGCTGTTGTTCCTTCCCAGTACGGTGACATGTCGTAGTACGCTACCAAGATCCATTGGTCTTTTATAAGCTGCATTTTCGCCATCGGATCGAAGTAAAGCGCTTGACTGCAGTTAAGTTGAGTTATGTTACTCATGCCGTAAGTGTTGGATATGAATGTCATAAAAATTTTTAGCGCCATTACAACGGAGGAAAGTTGTAAACGATCTCTGTTACCCGGTTTTCAATTATTTGTGTCATTCTTCATTGTGTTTGATTTCTTTTTACAGTCTCGTGTTTCATTGGGCTCGGGGTCAGATGGTTTAATAGGCAATACACACAATTTTACTATTGGTCGTTTTATGCAACCTTTTTCTGTTTTTAAGGATATAATGCGCACGTATCTGTCTCCGCCGGGTTGTAGGACAGTTACTCTTGCCATTGGCCACTTCCCGGGCGGGAGGTTGTCATCCTGCACGATAACTAAATCTCCAATCTCTATGTTCTTTTGCGACTGTGCCCATTTGTTTCTTGTATTTTACACTGTTTCCATATTTGTTGAAAAATTTAATTTGTACTATCTTGTTCTTGCGTCTTCCGCCGTTTCTATAACTGTTACTTCTGCTCGTCCTATTAAGAAGTGCGCTGGTGTTAAAGAATTTAGATCTTCAATATCTTCGGTTAACGCACAGAGTGGTCTTGAGTTCAGACACGCCTCTAACTGTGCCATGATTGTTGAAAATTCTTCAAATGTTAAACGTTGTTCACCTACTACTCTTCTTAAATGAAACTTCAGGCTCCGAACAGCTCTCTCCCAGAGGCCCCCTGCGCTTGGCCAGGAAGGAGCGTTAAAATGCCATTCTATGTTAATTCCAGCCAACACTCCTAAAAACTTTTCATCAAGTGTTTCATGCAATTTCTCGTATTCTTCTTGTAGAACTCGATGTGCTACTACGAAATTAGTTCCGCAGTCACTGTATAGGTGACGCGGAGCTCCACGTCTGGCTGACATTCTTTTCAGGGCAGCAAGAAACGCTGAAGATGTTAAGTCTGTCACCAATTCCAAATGTATGGCCTTGGTCACCACACAAATAAAAAGAGCGACGTAGCCCTTTATTGTTCTTGAGTTTCTCATCTTGTTAGCTTTAATATCCACGAATCCAGTATAGTCAACCCCAGTGTGGTAAAAAGGGGGAGCAGGTTCAACGCGAGCTGGTGGTAGACTTACCAAAAAAGCAATATCAACTAATGGGAGACTTCCCATTAGTTGATATTACTTTTTTGGATTGTTCTTCCGACAAGTTACACAGTTGCGTATTTGTTTTTTCACTTGATTGTTTCCTCCTGGAATCCAGTACTGTTGCCTCAGGTTCGCGATCGTCAGGCGGGCACCTCCATGAATTGTAAGTTCGTGTGCTTCTTTTATTAAAAGTACAGCAAGGCGACTGCCTCGCGGGATAATTTTCGGGTGTTTCATCTCCATGCTAAAGATTCGCGCTCTCTAGCCGACCGCCAACACGTAGCACTCCACAAGTATCTATGCTCGAATTTATATTAAATAACTTGCTTTTTACTCCAACTTTATTTGCATTACGCAATTGTTCCATTTCCGTTCCAAATTCGCTTTGTTGTATGCTTCGTATTATTTGTAATTTTGCTGCACACAATTCTTGTAATGTGAGATATATGATATATAATGAGGCATTTGCTTGCGCGTCGGTGCAAATGCCCTCAATAGCCACGCCACTACTCGTGTAACTTTGTTGAATTAATTGTATTTGTAGATTAAATTATCAATTAGCTTATTTTCTTGTTTTTGACCCACGTTGCACTGTTTCTTTGTTTCTAGTTTCGTTGTATATGATTCTGGTTGTTTATGTTTCATTACAGCTGTTAAAAGCCATGTTGGGCCCTGCCACCACAATGATTTTTTTCTTTTAATTGTAGAACATATAAGCCTCTGCTAGCGGCGTCGGCGGGATTCTCATTGGACTTGGCGTAACGCCAACACGTGCTGGTCATGACGTCAATTGTTTTCTGGACTCTGTCAGCTACAAATGGTTTCCATCGACTGGGTTCTCCTTGCAGCCAGCCTAGAACCACCATCGAATCTGTCCAGCCGTAGATTTCAATGTCATGTTGAGAAAAAGCTTCAATTAGTTTCTTCATTAACTTCGATAATAGATGTGCACTACATAGCTCCAGTTTTGGTAATGTTATCGCTTTTTTGTTTGGTACAAATTTAGTTTTAGCGGCCTGAAGTGTTGTTTTCGATTGGTTCTTTACTTTGACGTACACAACGCAGGCATATGCTTCGATAGATGCGTCACAGAAGCCATGTAATTCTATGACGTCATTTTTTCTACACATTAACCATCTTGGTATTTCGTACTGCTTAATAACATCTAATTCGGTCTTTATTTTCATCCGCTCTTTGCTTATATCGCTCGGTACTTGATCGTCCCATTTAAGGTCATTTTTCCACAGTTTTTGAAATAAAAATTTTAGCTTGGAGGATAGTGGTGCTAACTAGCCAAGAGGGTCGAACAGTCTTGATATTTCAGAAAGGAGGTTACGTTTTGTTATTGGTGACGTTTGTCTTGGAATGTTACATTGGAA